TTTTTAAATTAAAAAATAATAATCCCAAGATTTCTCCCATGGAAAAAGCAGAGCTTAATCTGAGCGAGAGCTGAACCCCAGCATCTGTTTCCCAGGCCAGCCCTAGATCATACAAAAGTGTACCTCTGAACGTGTACAGAGAGCCCTTCTCTGGCCACTGAGCCTCTCTCTGACCCGTCTGAGATGAAGGAAGGCGGCTGCCCTGATCCCTCTCGCGGTCCAAACCGGAGCGCGGGAGAAGGAGGAGGAAAAGGAGGCCAGCGAGCGGTCCCAGGCAGAGAAGCGGAGAAAGACGGGAGCGACGGCCAATGCCCAGGCAGGGGGAACACCCCTCCCTCTCTCCCTCCCTCCCTCCACCCGCGGCAGAAAGCCTGGGAAGAAGAGACCCCGCCCTCGTCCTCCTCCACTCCCGCGTCCCTGCGAGAAGACGACGGGAAACATCTCCCCCCCGCCGCCGCACGCCCCCCCCCCCATCCAGAGGAACAAAAGGCGCCGCCAGCCTCCATCTGGTCTTCCCCGGCACGGGCGGCTTCTTCACATCCCGCAGGGTGGCGGTAGCATCAGCAGGCGAGCGCGGAGCACGCGGCCGCCCCACCCAGGCCCCTCCCTCCCCTTTGCCTGCAGCCCGGGCGGGGTCTTGCACCCTTCCTTCCCCTCCCGCCCTCGAAGCCCGCGTGGCTGGCGGGCGGACGGTGCAGTGCGCAGCATTCCCAGGATCGGGGCCGTGGGCGCTCGGTGCAGGCACCGCCCGAGGAGGCTCCTCCACAAGGCCAGCGGCGGGGAGGGCGCCCTGGACGCGGCCATCTGGCTCTACCAGTTCTGCCTGATCGTGCTGGGTGACTCGACGGTGGGCAAGTCCTGCCTCCTGCACCACTTCGCCGAGGGCCGCTTCCCGGGGCCCGCCAAGACTGACCCCACCGTCGGGGTGGACTTCTACTCCTGCCTGGTGGAGATTGAGCCCGGCAAGAGGATCAAGCTGCTGTTCTGGGACACGGCCGGGCAGAAGAGGTTCAGGTACGCCACCCTTCCCTCCCCCCCCAGTTTATTCGTTGGTGTGTGCATGTGTGGCAAAGTTCAGCCCCAGAACCTGCCCCCTGCCATCTTCCATTAGGAGACTGGATTACATAAAACAAAGAGAAGACAAGTACCTCTTAGCTTGCTAGAAGGAATCAGTATTCCAGAGCATTATATGATCAAGAAGGGTACCTGAGGAAGAACAGGTCTACTCCTGATTGAGAGCAAGGTGGTAAAAATCCAAATTGAGAAAAAGGACCAACAGGCTTTTGCAATATTAAAGTGCTTCCGGATCCCTTTCCGCAGTATTTTGCTGGGAGAGAACTCTCATTCTTCGGATTTAGGATTCAAAAGTGCCAACAAATTTAATTTTATTTCCTCAGCATTTCCTGCTCTTTTCAATCCTCTTGCCAATCCGATTTCATTCTCAATCAACTGCGCTTTTGACGTCTTCCTAGTGCTCATCTCCTCCAGGCGTAATTCCTCAATGGG